AAAAAGAGAAAAAGGCTGGAATTTGGATAAGGGAGCATTTGAAGGATAACAGAGAGGGGTTCAAAAGTTAAGCCTATATATCTAAACTTCTTGGAATATAGAAAATACACTCTCGGCTAAAAACTTTTTGACAAGAATATTTTTCTAAGTGCTATGCTCTTTATTGAAGATTTGTGAGCTTAGGTTAAGTGCTTCATTGTCATCTTTTTGTTTATCAAGAAGCTTTTATAAGGTGGTCTTTTTTGTGTGAGAATTTTCTCCTAGTGTGGAGATTATCCTATGTAGCACCGATATTGACACGGGACACGTGACACGATACGACACGACACTCCGACACGTTAATTCTAAAAAATGTTAGATTTCGACACGTTAGGACACGTTTTGATATTAAATAATATTTTTAATTTATGTAGTGAATATTATATTTAATATTCAATAATTTAACAAAAAAATGAATCTAATCTTATAATATTCATAAATTTTGCAAAGAAACATAAGATATCCCAAATATTTATATTAAACTCAATAAAATGATAATCGTAATACAGTGAATCTAATAGTTGGAACTAAAAACTCAACACAACGCAACCTTTGAAACTTTTTTTGAATTTCTGTAATGCGTGTTGAAGTGTCGAGGAGTGTCGGAGTGTCCGAGAGTGTCGGACACGACACGTCAGGATTTTTGAAGTGTCGGTACTTCATAGAGATTACCTATTGTTAGTGATAACAATAAGGACGATAGAATTATAAGGAAAAAATTGTGAACTTTGATTTAAGCTGCAAGATCAAAGCGAGTGTGTCTTAATGGTAGGTACTTATGATCTACTTGTGCTTGAATATTTTGACTCATTAAAATGAGTGAAATTATTTTTTTAAATCCTATTAGATTAGGGAATCCAAGTGTGAGTCGTGTTTTCTTTTTTTTACTCCTATTGATAAAATCGTTGTGTTCTTTGTTTGTGTAGTTTGTTCTTTAATAAAATCATTAATACAGCTTCTTCCATCAGTTCAAGCTTTTATGTTGAATTGACACATTACATGGTATTACAATCTTGGTATCAGGGGTTCATTTAATTAATAATCAATCAAATTTTGTGGAGTTTCTTAACACAGATAAGTGACCCTGTGCATTATCCCTCTTCAAGTCTAGTGGGCTCTTTTGTTAAGAGGTGTATTAGAGATATATAAAATGACGCATTGTCCACCCTTCAAACCTAGTGGACTCTCGTGTGAAGAGGAGTATTAGAGATATATAAAATCATTAATATAACTCCACCCAATAGCTTAACTTTTTGAATCGAATTGGCGCATTATACAGTTTTTGTTTAAGGGAAATAGATGTATAATGTTGTAGAAAAGTGTTTAGGTTATGTTATAGAGATAGAGAATATGAGACCCACACTTTTTTTTTTTTTGGTTTTTGAAAACAAGTGTGGGTCCCACAATTTCTATCTCTATAACATAACCTAAACACTTTCCTACAATATTATACTTCTTTTCCCTTTGTTTAATTAGTAAAAATAAAAATAAAATCCAATAAGAATTACAATTACTCAATTCAACCCCTTATTGAGTAACACTCGAACTAACATATATATCTTATGTATACCCAGACTTTTTTGTAAACCGGGGTAATAGAGCCTTCACATCTACTCTCTCTAAGGGGGTGTTTGATATAGGTTTTCATTTGGGTTTGATGGAGAAGTGTGAGTGGCAATTGAAAAAAGATCATGTTTGGAAAAAAAAAATACTAGGTAAATAGGAAGTCTAGTAAACGAGTTCACAGTTATTGTTTATTTTTTTTATGAAATTAACTATCCCAAAATTTTACTTCAGATGTGGTATTTTAGGATATATGGGGAAGTGGAAAAAGGGGCTCCAAGTTGTGGACCAAAATGATTTTGCACTTGTATGCTGCAGTGGTTCTTTAAAAAAAAAAAATTATAACGGGGGTGTTTTGGTCAATTTAACCTATTTTTTCTTCACTATTTTACATTTAACCAAACATAAACTTTACAAATTTAAATAAATTTCTCCAGTAATATTTCGGTGAACCAAACATCTTTTTTTAAACATTTCTATCAAAGTTACTTTCCTACCATTTTTCCATTAATTATATTTTTCCGGTAAAAAAGAAATATCTCATTTACCAAACGTCCCTTAAAAGTGAATATGATCCTTAGTTCTCTTAATCGATATTTTAAATTTATTTTTTATAACAAACATAAGAACATGCATCAATTAGCATACATAACATGAGTACGCATTGCCAAACATACATAACATTTATATATTTTATTTAAGGAAAAAATGTGAGACTTAAGTCTTAAGATATTAGTATCAATTACCAAACAAAATAAAAAATATTAGCACAAGGAAACTTCTTCCTTAACTTGGAAAAGGAAACTTCGAACAAGGCAAAGAAAAGAAGTGACTTAGGACGTGTATGGTATGTGGATTATATTTGATTCCACTGGGAAAACAATATTGGGAAGCATAATATACCATGGTTGGTGCCAAAACAAGGAAAAGTTTTTCGGGTAAACATTGGGGCATGTTTGATTGTGTTTTGGTTTTTTTGTTCTTAAAAATATTTTGTAGAATAGTTATAGAAACCGTTATTTTCTGTATTTTTTTTGTTTTGAAAATTAAAAACCAAAACAGAAAATAAAAACAACTCAGTCAGACATGTTCTCTAAATTTGATTCTAAAAACAAAAAAACAGTTATAGTTTTTAAAATATTTTTTCCAAAACATGCCTTACCAAACGAATTTTTTTTGTTTTTTTGTTCTGAAAACTAAAAAACTGTTTTTAAAAACACTAAGGGTGTGTATGACAACCATTTTATTCCTTAGTACTATTTCTGAAAAGAAACAATTCTTTTCTATTTCTGTTCCTTGGAACAGTTTCTGAGAAAAAAAATGTGTTTGATAACATGTTCTATTTTTATTCCGAGAATGAGAATTGCGTTTGATAACATGATAAATCATATAATAAAAAATAATTCCTATTAAATATAAAAAAAATTTGGATCATCACTTTCCTTTTCATATTGTGTGGTTGTGGTGGTGGCGGTGGCGATGGTAGTGGTAATGGTGGCGACAACGGTGAGGATGGTGGTGGTGGAGGTGACGGCAGTGGCTGCGATAATGGTGGTGGGGATGGTGGTTGGTGGCGGCGACAATGGTAGCGGTGACTTGGTGGTGGTGGTTGTGATGGCATTATGGAGGTGGTGGTGGTGGTGGCAGTGGCTGTAGCGGTGGCGGTAGGTCACAATGGTGGTGGTGGTGGTGTAATGGTGGCGATGGTGGTGGTGGTGACGGTAGTGGCTGTGACGATTGTGGTGGTGGTTGGTAGCGGCGGCGGTGTCGGTGGTGGCTGCAACAATGATAGTGGTGATTGGTGACAGTGATGGTGATGGTAGCGGTGCCGTTGTGGTGGTGATGGCGATGGTGGCGGCAGTGGTTGTGATGATAGTGGTGGTGGTGATGGTGACAATGATGGTGGTGGTGGTGGTGGTTGCAGCAGTGGTAGTTGTGGTGGTGGTGGTGGTGATGGCGGTGATAGTAGTGATGCCGTTGTGGTGGTGGTAGTGGTGGCGATGGCGGCAGTGGTTGCAATGATGGTGGTGGTGGTGATGATGGTGGTGACGGTGACGGTGATAGTGGTGGTGGTGGTGATGGTGGCATGGTGGTGATGGTGGTTGTGGCTTCGTGGTGGTGAGGGGTGGTCACGACAACACTAGTGGTATGACGACAGCGGCGACGATGGTGGCGGTGGTCGTGTTTGGATGATGGTGGTGATGGTGATGATGGTAGAGATGGAGAGTGATTAAGAGAGAAAAGTGTTTCTCATTTTGTGCACGAGAATAAAAAAGCAGAAATTTTCTGATTCTTTTTTCTGTTCTCCAGCACAAAATTTAATCCGGTTCATCTCGAGAACAAAAAAATAAACCGGTTTTACCAAACGAGTTTTCTATCCATTTCTGTTCTCGAGAACAGAAATTAAAAAAAAATTGATTCCGGAAAGATTGTCATACGCACCCTAATTAAACAGAGCCCAAATCTTCCGTTTTTTTCTTTTGTGTGTTAAGACTCGTAGGGCTAGTGTTGCATGAAGCCGAAAGAAAATGTGGAATAGTTGGCTACCCGAGCATGTGAAAAAAATTTCGTGAATAAGTGGACCAAAATAACCTTCTTTGATTGTAGGCTCTTTGAACAAATGGAGTTGGTGGCTTCAGTTTGTGAATATGGCAGCAACAGCTCCCTCTAATATTTCAACGTGCAAAGGACTCTACCATCAAACACTGCTAGTCGTTCGAAGTCTGATCCAGGACCTATGAAGCGGTTGATATGAAGAACTATATGAGCTATTTCAACGAATATGGCTGGCGTTTGGTACAGATGTGCTTGTCATATGTGGTTAATAAGTTTAAGTTCCAGATCTATTTCATTTTGTCTCCGGATTTGTTCCAGAGCTATTTCAACGTTGGTTAGAAGATTTGAATCAATTGGCAAAGGTAAGGTCACATTTCCACTAATATTTCATAATCAACCAAACACAAATTTATTAAAATTAACTTAATTTTTTCGGAAAAAGATAATTCTATCAAAGAGCTTTTTAGTAATATTTCAATAACATATATTTGTTACTATATTTCAGTAATAATTATTTTCCGAATTAAAAAAAACTTCTCATGTTAGAAACGTTCCCTTAAGATATTAGTACAAATTACCAAAAAAAAATATATATATATATATAGGAAAAAATGTGTGTCATTTGAAAAGATATAAAGTTATGTCATTTTAAAAGAGAAAAAGAAATAGATAAAGAAAAAGAGAAAATTGACAAAAAAATAAAAGTGTGAATCTCACTACTTTATAAAAGTGAAAATATATAAGTTGTATCATTTAGATTTAGGAGCACGAAGAGTTTTCTGAGTCTATATGAATATTAGACAAAGAAACTTCTTCCTTAACTAAACTTCGAAGAAAGGCAAAGAAGTCAACTCAGCGTGCTGTTTTGTTTACAAAAGAGCAACTTTTGTTTCTTTATTCAATTTACTTTACCAAACCGTGTTTCCAAACATCTGTCCTGCTGTAGTTCAGCTCGTTTTCGTCTGGTTCAACGTCGATGGGATCAGGGTCGATTTGCCCCCTCCAATAACATCATCATCTACTTCAAAACCCTCACTTCCTCTCCTTGCCATGTAAATGAAATTCGATCTTTCTTATCATCCCAAGGTATTTGTTTGATTCTCTTTTCCTATTTTATTGTTTATAAATAGTTAATCTTAACTTAAATTTAATTTAATTGGTGTTTTGCTCGTGAATTTTTGGTTTAACTTTTTGGTTCACTTGATTTAGGTTATGTTACTTATGTGTGAGATTAAGATGGAGTGAGTAAATATAGTCTTTATTATGATTGAATTTTTTTATTTTATTTTTACTTTTTATGGCCATATCAATTGTAAATATTAATGAAGGAAGGGATTCCAAGGTGATAGGGAATGTGTCCTTCTCATTTAACAAGATTAGGTCATGACAAATTTCAACGCTCTAATACATAAATCAATGATGATCAAGAGAAGAGAGCATTAGGATACAGAATATGGACGGTTGAGATCATGTTAAACGAGACGTGTGAGGATCCACTGCGGAAGTCACTCAATTAAATTAGGCAGTTTCCAAAAAAGCAATTTTGATATTCATATAACTTTTTTATTTAAAAATATTTTTGATGTATTATATTCATATGCAAAATAATTTTAATATTCTTCAAAAATAAATGACATAACTTTTTTTTTTTTCTCTTTTGAAGTTGGACCCTAGTTTAAACTTGTTGAATATCATTCGATTGATCGATGTTTAGCTCTATGTTCAGATAGTGAGATAGAATTATATCAGTTTGGAAAAGCTCGACACCTTCTCCTCCACTCGTCTTATTTGATCCATCCAAAACAAATTTTACCAAAGGACCATATTGTAAATATAAACAATGGAGTTCACTTATTGTAAATATTTTTTTTTTTGAAAAATAATAACTACATTTTTAAATATACCAAATTGTGCTGTGTGGTTAAAATTCACTTAATTTTTTTTTTGTTAGAATTTGATTGATAGTTGAAGAACAGTTTATTGCATTGCAACTTTTTTTTTTGTAGCATTGGAAATAATATGACAACGACGAGTATATCGTAGGAGTGGGCTTCTGTAGAGGCATACGAAGCGTCCAATACATTAGAAATGGGCTTTGGCGACGTCAACTGAACCCAAGTCATCTGTAGTAGTTTGAGAATTGTGAGCAAAAATCATGGCAATGCAAGAATCATTGTTGCGCTCTTCTTCCTTTAGCTATGGATTCAAATACGATGTGTTTCTCAGCTTTAGAGGCGAAGATACTCGTCACGGTTTCACAGGCCATCTCTACAAAGCTCTTCTTGACAGAGGAATCCACACCTTCATTGATGATAAAGAGCTTCAAAGAGGAGAGGAAATCACACCATCACTTGTCAAGGCAATTGAAGAATCCAGGATTTCCATCATTGTGTTCTCCAAGAACTATGCTTCTTCTTCATTTTGCTTGGACGAACTTGTCCATATCCTTCACTCCATCAAGGAAAATGGTCGGTTGGTTTTGCCAGTTTTCTATGACGTTGACCCTTCTGATGTGCGAAAGCATACAGGTACTTATGGTGTGGCATTGACTAGGCATGAGGAGAGGTTTAAGGATAACATGGAAAGGTTGCATAAATGGAAGATGGCTCTGAATCAAGCAGCTGACTTGTCTGGCTTTCATTTCAAACAACAAGGGTACTGTTTTATCTTCGTATGTTCTTTTGTTTCTTTATTTTCCATTTTTCTTTTGATTTGGTTTTAATGTTAATATGAATCATTTAGTATGACTTCACTTATTAATTGGGCAGGAATGAGAATGAATATGAGTTTATTGAGAAGATTGTTAAAGTGGTCTCCAACAATATTGATCGTGCTCCTCTACAAGTTGCGAAGTATCCAGTTGGAATGGAGTCTAAAGTGAAAGAAGTAATGTCACTTCTCAATGTCCGATGTGATGGAGTCCGCATGATAGGGATCCATGGAATTGGGGGAATAGGGAAGACGACAGTTGCTCGAGCAGTTTATAATGCTATTGCTGATTCATTTAAAGCTTTGTGTTTTCTTGATAATGTGAGAGAAAATTCAATTAAACATGGATTAGAACGTCTCCAAGAGACACTTCTTTCTGATTTAGTAGGAGAGAAGGATATTAAGTTAACAAGTGTCAATAAAGGAATTTCAATAATAGAGCATAGGCTCCAAAGGAAGAAGGTTCTTTTAGTTCTTGATGATGTTGACAAATTGGAGCAATTGCAGGCAACTGTTGGAGGGCTTGATTGGTTTGGTTCTGGCAGCAGAATCATCATTACAACTAGGGATAAGCATTTGCTAAAAAGTCATGGGGTTGAGAAAACTTATGAGTTAGATGGGTTGAATAACAAAGAAGCTCTTGAATTACTTTGTTGGAGTGCTTTTAAAACTGACAGAGTTGATTCCAGTTATGTGGAAATTTTAAATCGTGCAGTAACTTATGCTTCTCGACTTCCACTGGCATTGGAGGTAATGGGTTCCTATTTGTTTGGGAAAAGGATAGAAGAATGGGAATCTGCATTAGATAAGTATGAGAGAATTCCTAATAAAGAGATCCAAAAGATACTTGAATTAAGTTTTCATTCTTTGGGGGAATATGAGCAGAAAATTTTTCTTGATATTGCTTGTTTCTTCAAAGGAAATAATTTAGCATATGTCAAAAAGTTACTTTATGCTCATCATGGTATCTGCCCAGAATATGGTCTTGGAGTGTTGATTGAAAAGTCTCTCATAAAGATTAATGTATATCGTAATGTAACATTGCATGACCTGATAGAGGACATGGGTAAAGAAATTGTCCGACAGGAAGCCCCAGAAGAGCCAGGCAAACGTAGTAGATTATGGTTCCCCAATGATATAGTTCAAGTTTTAGAAGATAACACGGTAAGACTAATATGGATGGTTTGGTTTTCAAAATTTTACCTTTATTTATATCTTTTGATTATTATGTGCTAGACACCTAGGTCACAATATTTATAACTATGTTTGCAATCTTTGGTTGGGCAGTGTTATTTCACTGTCTGTTGTTTTCTTTTTGTGATACTTAATATTCTCTAATATTTTACCTTTTTTTGTTTTCCTTTTATTTCTTTTGTTGATAGTGTTATTTTACTGTCTATTGTTCTCCATAAATATATATGCATGTATTACGGTTGACCTGTGTTTTTGTCTTTAAAGGGAACTAGTAGTATTCAAATACTAATGCTGGATTTCCTCAAATTTGAAGAAGTAGTTGAATGGGATGGAAACGCCTTCAAGGAGATGAAAAACCTCAAAACACTTATTATTAGAAAAGGTTGTTTTTCGGAAGGTCCCAAACATCTTCCAAATAGTTTGAGAGCACTAGAATGGTGGAGATATCCTTCACCATCTTTACCGTCTAATTTTCGTCAAAAGAACCTTGTGATGCTAGAGTTACCCCAAAAATCCTCTATTTCAATTGATTTGCTCATGTCAAATAAGGTAAGTATAATATGTTCCTTTCCTTGGTCTTTTATATCAATATATTCATTCTATTATAATTCATTTGATTCCTGTTTCTTGATTTCTTTTCTATTTTTTTTTTGGTGGCAGGAGTTTGTGAATATGAGAGTTTTGAATTTTAATGGTTGTCATTGTATTACAGAGATACCTGATGTATCAGGTGTTCCAAGTTTGGAAGAATTATCATTTGAATGTTGTGATAATTTAATTAGAATTCACAAATCAGTTGGATTACTTAAAAAACTTAAAATCTTGAACGCTGATGGTTGCAAGAAGTTTAGGAGTTTTCCACCCATCAAGTTGACCTCTCTTGAAGAACTCCAGTTTTCATGTTGTCCTAGTCTTGAGAATTTTCCAGAAATATTAGGAAAGATGGAAAAAATAACACATCTTGAAATCCAAGACACCCCCATAAAAGAACTGCCATTTTCAATTCAAAATCTCACTCGTCTTCGAACTCTAGAGCTGTCACGTTGTGGAGTTTTCCAGTTACCAAGCAACATTTCGATGATGCGAGATTTTGATCATTTTATTTTTGAGGAATGTGAGGGGTTGCTTATATCTAAACAGGACGAAGGTGATGCACAAGTGAGCTCATTGATGTTAAAGAAAACCTTTGATATTAACCTTTCGAAATGCAATATGTCAGACGAATTCATTCGAAAAGGTCTCCCTTTGTTTTTCAATATGCGACGGTTATTCCTTTACGAGTGTAATCTTAAAAGTCTTCCTGCATGCATCAAAGAATGTCTCTTTTTGACAGAAATTCAGTTATTTTTGTGCGAGAATTTTCGGGAAATTGGAGGGATTCCACCCAACTTAGAAACATTCAAAGCATATGAGTGCACATCCTTGAAAGATTTAGACCTCACACTATTTCCTGAATGTTTGACGACACTTTTTCTTATAAATTGCGAGAATCTTCAAGAAATCAGAGGGATTTCACCCAACATAAGAACTTTGGGTGCAACAGAATGCCCATCCTTGACTTCCGAGTGTAGAAGCATGTTACTTAATGAGGTTCTTGTTTTCTTACTTATTTAATTTGATATTTCATATATTTCACGTTGACTCAAACTATACAGGTTTTGCTAAATGTATGAAAAAATTATGACTAACAGGAATTTCATGAGGGTGGAGACAAACTGTTTTTCTTGCCAGAAACAAGGATTCCAGAGTGGTTTGAGCACTGTAGCAATGGACCGTCAATTTCATTATGGTTTCGTAACAAGGTCCCTGCCATATCTCTATGTTTTGCTATTCGATTCAAATCATTTTATACAGATGATGGCTATTTTGAGCTCAATATTGAAGTCAACGGCATTTCAGTAGATACAAGAGTGTGTTTCAGTTGGTTTCTCCTGGAAAGGGATTATACAGTTCTTTGTGATATAAAACAGGAAAAACTTGACGGAATTTTTTCTGATATAGAAGAAAATAAATGGAATTATGTGGTGTGTACTGCATCAATTAGAGGAGAAGAAGTGTTTGTCAAACAAAGTGGAATCCATGTATTCAAACAAGGAAGTTGCATTGAGGACATTCAATTCACCGATCCACTATTGCTGAAAGAAGAGCATGAGCATAGATTGATGGACATGACAGATTCTCAGACAATTTATGCAGCACCAAACAATAATGTGAATTGGCATTCAAATTCAATGGTACCAAAGCTGGGGAGTAGCACTCCCGATTTCCAAGGTAATATACATTTGTTGCATTTCTTTCTCGGTATGCTTTCACTATTACAAATTTACTTACCCTATATATTTTCCTACTCAATGTGGTGCATTATTAATTTTTTCTAGAAGAAAGTAGAAATAATTTCAATTAGTTGGTCCAAGTAATGTAAGAGAAATTGAATTCTATAAGGTTATGAATTAGTATGGAAATATAACGAAATAATATTTGGAAATTTTGATTTGACTTGTTTGTTTATAAGCTAATTTGGTTTCTTAATTTGGAAAATTTTACTCAACTTTATCATCTCAACAGGATGTGAAATTGTGTCCAGAAAGAGGAAAATAGGCATGTTAAATGTGGACTTCGACAATGAAGCCTGTGAACCTTGTTGTCCTGCACCTTCAAAAGTGGTTTTGAATTCAGCAGTTTCAAACTTTGCTAGTGGTGCTGCCAGTGAAGAAGGTAAACAATTTGGGGGTATTTATTTCTGAAGAGATTGGATTTTCTAACCATAAGATGCACATTAAGATTCAGATTCATATTTATTTACTTATTATCAAAATTTCTATTCAAACCAACAAGTGAGGTTCAATTATAATGTCAATTCCACAAAAGTTTTCAGTCTCTTGACAGTACCTCTCCCTAGATTACCTAACTTAACTTTCCGTGTTGTGCAATTTATTCTTTGAACTATTTCCATGTGAATTCAACTGTAGTGTACTGACTACCGGTGAAATAAAAGCAAATTACTAGAATGAACATTACTGACTTACATATATTCAGCATGCAAGAATGATTAGTCAAACTTATAAATTGAATATCTCACCATCTGCATTACTTTTTATTGGTAAGTTTACCATTACTAATGCATCTGTTTTTATTAATTTATTATATTTTTTAATTGGCTATAACTACATCATTCTGATGCCATATCATACTCTAAATTGTCATGCTTTAGGAGAATCTTTTTTTGGTTCTATGCTGTCTAGTCATATATTACGTTGTGTTTGCTTCCTTTAACATAATGCCTGAATATTGCGATATAGGTATAGCCATTGAAGTAAACTGAACATGAGAATCATAATTTAAATTTAGGACTATACTGATATGTATATTAGTCCTGAGTTTCTATTGTCTGTGGTTTGGTTGCAGCTTCTCCTGTGGAGGATTACTTTATACATTGATGATCTGACATATCCTAATAAGATTGGAATATTGTTCAGCTTGCTTTACAACTTTATCTCAAAAGAATAAGCTCTTTTACACGTTTCTGTTATCATTAATGGCAGGAAGAAGCTATGAAAAAAGAAGAGGACATGGCTGCTAGAGCAAACTCATTCTTGCTGACAAAGTTGTTGCATCATTTACCCGTGGGATTGTTGATATGGTATATGAATTGGGGAGTATTGTGAAATAAGTAACGGGAGCCTTCTGATTCAATGGTTTTTAACCCGTGGGAAGGTGAAAATGAAAGAGAAGATGGAAAAGGAAGAAGAAGAGTAAACACTGTGACTTGTACATTGAAGTCCACTTTATTTCAGATTTTTGATTTGTGAGTAAACACTGTTCAGGAAGTCCTTTGTTGAAACTGTAGCATGTATGAAGGATTTTAATGTTTAGTTGATTAATTTGACAGATTAGTTGATGATTATTCTGATTCTGCTGCTGGTTGTACATGGAAAGAATCAACAATGTAGAATCATGTATTTCCCCATTATTTGTATGCAGAATTTTTCTGGCTGTATACCTCTGTTATTGATATTTATTCTTGTTTGGAAACCCATATTTGGAATACACATAAAAACTCATTTGGAAAACACAATTTAATGAAACTTTTAGCATTGATATTGTCAATTACCAGCATGATGCAGTACCCTGATCATTTTTCATTACAAACGATTTTTTAAATGTATCAGACCTAAATACACTGCCATTTCTATTTCCTGATCAAAGTATTCAATTGCTTGGCCTGAATGTCATACATTTTCTTGACAGCATCTTTAATCTTCTTTTTATCAGAACGAAGGTCAACAGTGATCCAATCTGGTCACTAGTCACTGGCTTGTGCCTTGTGAAATCACCATTTTTTTTTTCCAGTTCTTCAGTATTAAGTGTTTCATTTGTTTCTTCTATATTGCCTTCTACCATAGTTGTAGCATCATTTGAGTTATCAAAAAGAATGCCCTCGTCAGCTATTGTATCATCATGTTCTTGACGATTTTCATCACTTATTGAAAGTATCTGAAAAATCACATACCAAATATACCAAATTGTGCTGTGTGGTTAAAATTCACGTATGTTTTGTTTTAAAATTTGACTGATAGTTGAAGAAAAGTTTATCACTAAATATTATTTTTGGTCTCTAACAAAAAATACGGTTTCCACTTTAGTCTTTTACAAAAAGAATTAGTGGGTTGGTTCCTATGAAATTCAAAGTGAATCGATCTATTTTAGTTCTTTTGAGGAATTAATGTGATTATTTTTTGAATTTATGAGGAGTCCGATTTTAACTAAACAGGTCAACTTTTAATTTGTGAAGGGATTGAAGATTAATTTTTTTTTTTTTTTTGTAAGGAACGGATACCGGATTAATATGACTAATTGACTATGACTAATCAACTGAACCCAAGTCACAACCGACCAGTTGAAGAAACACACAGAAAACACAAAATAGAAACAGAGGCATAATAAGCTTTGGAATAACGGAGCTCCTTTTCCTCTGGTTCAACGTCGATGAGATCAGGGTCGTCGATTTGCCCCCTTCCAATAACATCATCATCTACTTCCAGGTTGCCATAATCAACAAGAGGCTCAACATTGACTGACCAGTTCAAAACCGTTCATTGCTGCCACAAATCCCTAGGTATTTGTTTGTTTCTCTTTTCCTATTTCATTGTTTTGCTTGTGAAATTTTGGTTTAACTTTTTGGAACACTTGATTTAGGTTTTGTTACTTATGTGTGAGATTAAGATGGAGTGAGTAAATATAGTCTTTATTATGATTGAATTTTTTTTATTTTATTTTATATTTCCTTTTTATGGCCATATCAATTGTAAATATTGAAGGAAGGAAGGGATTCCAAGGTGATAGGGACTGTATCCTTCTCATTTAAACAAGATTAGGTCATGAGAAATTTCAACCGTCTAATATATATATATATCAAAGGTGATCAAGAGAAGAGAGCATTAGGATAGAGAATATGGACGGTTGAGATCATGTTAAACGAGACGTGTGAGGATCCATTGTTAAAATATGCAGTTTCCAAAAGAGCAACTGTTTGTTTTTTTTTTTTTTTTCTTAAATGCAGCATTGGAAATAATATGACTATGACGAGTTTATCGTCGGAGTGTGCCTTGGAAATAATACAATAGAAATGGACTTTGGCGACGTCAACTGAACCCAAGTCACAGAGAAAACACAAAATGGAAACAGAGGCATAAGCTTTGGAATGACGCAGCCAACAGAACTTCGAAGAAGGCAAAGAAGTGAACTCCGCGTGGTATTTTGTTTACAAAAGAGCAACTTTTGTTTCTTTATTCAATTTACTTTACCAAACTGTGTTTCCAATCTTCTGTAGTAGTTTGAGAATTGTGAGCAAAAATCATGGCAAGGCAAGAATCATTGTGCTCCTCTTCTTCCTTTAGCTATGGATGGAAATATGATGTGTTTCTCAACTTTAGAGGCGAAGATACTCGTCATGGTTTCACTGGCCATCTCTACAAAGCTCTTCATGATAGGGGAATCCACACCTTCTTTGATGTTAAAGAGCTTCAAAGAGGAGAGCAAATCACACCATCACTTGTCAAGGCAATTGAAGAATCCAGGATTGCCATCACTGTGTTCTCTGAGAACTATGCTTCTTCTTCATTTTGCTTAGAGGAACTTGTCCATATCATTCACTCCATCAAGGAAAAGGGTCGGTTGGTTTTGCCAGTTTTCTATGACGTTGACCCTTCTGATGTGCGAAAGCATACAGGTACTTATGGTGAGGCATTGACTAGGCATGAGGAGAGGTTTAAGGATAACATGGAGAGGTTGCAGAAATGGAGGATGGCTTTGTGTCAAGCAGCTGACTTGTCTGGCTTTCATTTCAAACAGCAAGGGTACTGTTTTATCTTCCTATGTTTTTTTTGTTTCTTTATTTTCCATTTTTCTTATGATTTGGTTCTAATGTTAATATGAAGCATTTAGTATGACTTCACTCATTAATTGGGCAGGAATGAGAATGAATATGAGTTTATTGAGAAGATTGTTAAAGTGGTCTCCAACAAGATTAATCGCACTCCTTTACATGTTGCGAAGTATCCAGTTGGATTGGAGTCTAAAGTGAAAGAAGTAATTTCACTTCTTAATGTTCGATCTGATGGAGTCCGCATGATAGGGATCCATGGAATTGGGGGAATAGGGAAGACGACAGTTGCTCGAGCAATTTATAATTTGATTGCCCAATCATTTGGAGCTTTGTGTTTTCTTGATAATGTGAGAGAAAATTCAATTAAACATGGATTAGAACGTCTCCAAGAGACTCTTCTTTCTGATTTAGTAGGAGAGAAGGATATTAAGTTAGCAAGTGTAGATAAAGGAATTCCAATAATAAAGCATAGGCTCAAGAGGAAGAAGGTTCTTTTAGTTCTTGATGATGTTGACAAACTGGAGCAATTGGAGGCAACTGTTGGAGGGCTTGATTGGTTTGGTTCTGGCAGTAGAATCATCATTACAACTAGGGACACGCATTTGCTGAAAATTCATGGGGTTGAGAAAACTTATGAGCTAGATGGGTTGAATAACAAAGAAGCTCTTGAATTAATTAGTTGGAATGCTTTTAAAACTGACAAAGTTGATCCCAGATATGTAGACATTTTAAACCGTGTAGTAACTTATGCTTCTCGACTTCCATTGGCTTTGGAGGTAATAGGTTCCAACTTGTATGGAAAAAGGATAGAAGAATGGGAATCTGCATTAGATCAGTACAAAAGAATTCCTAATGAAGAGATCCAGAAGATACTTAAAGTAAGTTTTGATTCTTTGGAGTATGATCAGAAACAAATGTTTCTTGATATTGCTTGTTGCTTTAAAGGATATGCTTTGTCATATGTCTATGCTCATCTTGATTTCTGCCTAGAATATGGTATTGGAGTGTTGATTGAAAAATCTCTCATAAAGATTGATGTATTTGGTCATGTGACATTGCATGACCTGATAGAGGACATGGGTAAAGAGATTGTCCGACAGGAAGCACCAAGAGAGCCTGGCAAACGTAGTAGATTATGGTTCCCGGATGATATAGTTCAAGTTTTAGAAGATAATACGGTAAGACTGATATGGAAGGTTTTGTTTTCAAAATTTTACCTTTATATATCTCTTTTGATTATTATGTCCTAGACATCTAGGTTACTATATTTATACCTCAGTTTACAATCTTTGGTTGCCAGTGTTATTTCACTGTCTGTTGTTCTCCTTTTATGATACATAATATTCTCTAAAATTTTACCTTTTTTGTTTTCCTTTTATTTCTCTTGTTGACAGTGATATTTCACTATCTGTTGTTCTGGATACATATATATGCATGTATTACGGTTGACCTGTGTTTTTGTCTTTCAAGGGAACTAGTAATATTCAAATAATAATGTTGGATTTCCTCAACCTCAAATTTGAAGAAGTAGTTGAATGGGATGCAAACGCCTTCAAGGAGATGAAAAACCTCAAAACACTTATTATTAGAAAAGGTTGTTTTTTGGAAGGTCCCAAACATCTTCCAAATAGTTTGAGAGTACTAGAATGGTGGAGATATCCTTCACCATCTTTACCATCTAATTTTCATCCAAAGAAACTTGTGATACTAAAGTTACCCCAAAGTTGCTTAGTATCAATTGACTGGCTCATGCCAAAGAGGGTAAGTATAATATGCTCCTTTCCTTTGCCTTTTATATCAATATATTCATTCTATTATGATTCATTTGATTCATGTTTCTTGATTTCTTTTCTTCTTCTTTTTTTGGTGGCAGGAGTTTGTGAATATGAGAGTTTTGAATTTTAGTCGTTGTCATTGTATTACAGAGATACTTGACGTGTCTGGTGTTCCAAATTTGGAAGGATTATCATTTGCAAAATGTGAAAATTTAATTAAAATTCACAAATCAGTTGGATTCCTGAATAAACTTAAAATCTTGAACGCTGATGGTTGCAAGAAGTTTAGGAGTTTTCCACCTATTGAGTTGACCTCTCTTGAAAAACTCCAGCTTTCATGTTGTCCTAGTCTTGAGAATTTTCCAGAAATATTAGGACCAATGGAAAAAATAACATATCTTGAAATCCGAGACACTCCCATAAAAGAACTGCCATTTTCAATTCGAAATCTCACTAGGCTTGGAAGACTAAGGCTGACATGTTGTGGAGTTTTTCAGTTACCAAGGAGCATTTTGATGATGCGAGATTTTCGTAATTTTAATTTTGAGGAATGTGAGGGATTGCTTATATCTAAACAGGACGAAGGTGATGCACAAGTGAGCTCATTGGTGTTAAAGAACACCTTTGATATTAACCTTTCGAAATGCATTATGTCAGATGAATTCCTTCGAAAAGGTCTCCCTTTGTTTTTAAATATGCGACGGTTATTCCTAGACGAGTGTAATCTCACAAGTCTTCCTGCATGCATCAAAGAATGTCTCTTTTTGAAAAAAATTGAGTTATTTTGGTGCGAGAATTTTAGGGAAATTGGAGGGATTCCACCCAACTTAGTAACATTCGAAGCAATTGGGTGCCGAGCCTTGAAAGATTTAGACCTCACACTATTTCCTGGATGTTTGATGACACTTATTCTGAGAAATTGCGAGAATCTTCAAGAAATCAGAGGGATTTCACCCAACATAAGAACTTTGCAAGCAACAGGCTGCCCATCCTTGACTTCCGAGTGTAGAAGCATGTTACTGAATGAGGTTCTTGTTTTCTTACGTATTTAATTTGATATTTCATATATTTCACGTTGACTCAAACTATACAGGTTTTGCTAAATGCATGAATAAATTATGACTAACAGGAATTGCATGAGGAGGGTGGAGACAAAGCGTTTCTCTTGCCAAAAACAAGGATTCCTGAGTGGTTTGAGTACTGTACCAATGGACCGTCAATTTCTTTCTGGTTTCGTAACAAGGTCCCTGCGATATCTCTATTTTTTGCTATTCCATTCAAATTTCACTATTTTGGGCTCAATATGGAAGTCAACGGCATTTCAAAAGATACAGGAGTGGGTTTCAATTGGTTTCCCCTGGCAGGGGATTATACAGTTCTTTGTGATATAAAACAGGAAAAACTTGACGGAATTTTTTCTGATATAGAAGAAAATAAATGGAATCATGTGGTGTGTACTGCATCAAACAGCAGAGAAGAAGTGTTTGTCAAACAAAGTGGAATCCATGTATTCAAACAAGAATGTCGCATGGAGGACATTCAATTCACCGATCCACTGTTGCTGAAAGAAGAGCACGAGTATAAATTGGTGGACATGACAAATTCTCTGACAATTTATGCAGCACCAAACAATAATGTGAATTGGCATTCAAATTCAATGGTACCAAAGCTGGGGAGTAGCACTCCCGATTTCCTAGGTAAAATACATTTTTTGCATTTCTTTGTGAGTATGCTTTCACTATTTCCGAATTTACTTGTCCTATATATTTTCCTTCTCAACAATTATCAGGGCTAGAACACTCATGTGGTGCATTATTAATTTTTTCTAGAAGAAAGAATAAATAATTTCAATTAGTTGTTCAAGTAATGTAAGAGAAATAGAATTATATAAGATTATGAATTAGTATGGAAATATATCGAAATAATATTTCCAAATTTTGATTTGACTTGTTTGTTTATAAGCTATTTTGGCTTCTTAATTTGGAAAATTTTACTCAACTTTATCATCCCAACAGGATGTGAAATTGTGTCCAGAAAGAGGAAAATAGGTATGTTAAATGTGGACTTGGACAATGAAGCATGTGAACCTTCCTGTCCTGCACCTTCAAAAGTGGCTTTGAATGCAGCAGTGTCAAACTTTGCTAGTGGTGTTGCCAGTGAAGGTAAACAATCTGGGGGTATTTATTTCTGAAGAGATTGAATTTTCTAACCATAAGATGCGAGGTTCAATTATAATGTCAATTCCACAAAAGTTCAGTCTCTTGACAGTACATCTCCCTTGATTACCTCACTTAATTTGCCGTGTTGTGCAATTTATTCTTTGAACTATTTCCATGTGAATTCAATTGTAGTGTACTGACTACCGGTGAAATAAAAGCAAATTTCTAGAATGAACATTACTGACTTACATATATTCAGCATGCAAGAATTATAAATTGAATATCTCACCATCTGAATAAATTTTTATTGTAGTTTACCTTTAATAATGCAACTGTTTTTATTAATTTATTATATTTTTTAATTGGCTATAACTACACCACTCTGATGCTTGATCATACTCTAAATTGTCATGCTTCAGGAGAATCTTCTCAAAACCCAGGTTTTACATAGACACTAAATATTCAGGCCTCCAGAGGACAAGAAATATACATAAAAACGTTTTGCAGTGTTGACAACCACAATTGACGTGTCTTTCAAAAATCAAAGTGATCTAAGTCAAAATGATGTAGAAACAGAAGCATTTTATGCTTCTCTTGAAGATGAGACCCATGTTCTTGCAAACCTTTCAGGTTTGCAAGATAAACCGGCCACCACTGATCCAAATGAAAAGGTCAGGGAAGCATTGAAATTAGTACAAGACTTCATCTCCAATGATGCCTCAGTTTTTCAAGATAAATGTAGTATCATGAAAACTAGGAATATGAGGAGAAATGAGAACATTGATATCAGAAGCTTCAAGGGTGCTTACACATTGGAGTAGGGATTGCATTGAAGTAAGTAGGAAAATTGAGTCCACTGCATCTGCATCTGAGTTTGGTGAGAGCTGATAAATTAGAAGCTGATTTAGAAATAATATGAACCACTTCAGGGAAGTTGTGGCATTAGAAAAAGTGCTTCTTCAAAAGTTAGCTAGAAGAGCAAATCAATGCCATAAAAGCTAACATCTCATAAGAGAAGGAAAGACAATGACACAAACTATAACTGCCCTGTGCATAAATAATTTGGTTATAGTTTTTTGAAGTCCTTTTGTTGTTGATTGACTAGTTGTGACACAATTTTATGCAACTTTCAAAGGTTAATTAAATTCTTGTTCTTTGCAAGGCTATTTTACCGCGGAACACTTTCTGTATCGAGCATATGCCGTTAACGTTATTAACACACACATATATGTAATCAAATAAGGAAATCTATTCTATCAACAAAAAGAAAAAGAAAAAAAGAAACAAAAGATCTATTACTCTAATTCCTAAACGTCCAAACGGTGGTGCTGTAGCTAATAAATTAAGGATTTGTCAACGAGGGTGTCCAGATTATTAATTAAGTAATATTTAATATTTTGTATAAAATATTTTTAATTTTCATTATGTTAAACTCTATTTTGATTTAATAATTTTTTAAATTCATTAACCAATTCTTTACAAAATCTATTATATTAAACCGAATAAAATTCTTTATTTTATAAATGATGTGAAGGGTTTATATTATCTGACAATTATTTTATTTATAGACCATAGAGAAAAAAAGGTTGGAAGAAAGTATCACCATTTAACATTAGAGAATAAATCCTCATCCTTTAAAGATGAATCAACCTTACAAAATAGTTTTGATTGAGAAATCTTATTTATTATAACATGTTTTAATAAATGTTGCTCCGTACAATGACCGATGAAAAAAACAATTCAAATTGAGTCATGGTACAGTAAGTAGAGGACTCGATAGTAATCGTCATAACTCATAACCAATAACTAAGAGACAGATATATGATTCCAAACTATACCTGAAAGGTATTGTAATGACCGAATCCCCAAATTACTTTGACTTGGAACTATACATGATTTTGACATTTTTCAATTTCAGTTTGTCTAATTAATTTTGTAACTAGAAGCTTTTTTGGCTTTTTGATCCTTTTGTCCTTCGTTAATTAATTAATCACCAATTTGCTCCTCCTCTAGAACTATTCACCATCATGCCCCCATTTAGTCAATCAACTTGCACTTTTAATCGACTTAATGGTCAAAATGCAGAAAACATGAATCACGAGATTTAGTCGATCAAGGTGAGGATGTAGTCGACTAAATCTCGTGATTCATGTTTTCTGCATTTTAACCATTTAGTCGATTAAAAGTGCAAGTTGATCGACTAAATGGGAGCAGGATGGTGGATAGTTCTGGAGGACGGACAAATTAGTTATTAGTTAATTAATAAATGGCAAAACGGTAAAAAAGCCAGCTTTCTTAGCATATCATTTCAAAAATATAGACGATGAGAGACTTATTAATTATGAAATTTCAAATGTGAAATGTTCATTCCCAAAGATAATAGAAGATAGTACACTCGGGCTAACAAGCCCAACGTATTCCTGATACCCACCATATAACAAGCGCAAATTCTTAAAGTCCAATATAACAAGCTCAATATTTTTTTTAAATGCAACCTTCGGTGCATTGAAGCATCTTACGTTATCTTTTTGTAAATTATGAATATTAATGATTACTTTCATTTTTTATATGGAATTCTGAAAGGATTTCATTTCATACATAGCTCGTGAAAAGTTAATGTTACATAGAATAATATTTATAAAGAATAGCATAATGATTAAATCACATGAGACTGAATTAGATTGGATAATACTAAAATTTAAAATTTGAGAAACATAACGTTGATTGAAATTAAACATGCACCCATATATAAATACACCAGTGTATATTCATCAACTCAAATACAACAAAGATCATTTAAGCAAAACCCAAATACAAATATATAAATAGGTCTTATATAACTGAAAGGATATAGCAAAATAAGATTGCTTAGACAAATACATTAATGGGGAACGCGAATGTAGATAGGAATGAGATTGTGGGTGTTTGGAGATGAGTCCCAAACAGAGAAAGCACTAGAAGAGTTCAACCACTTGTGTGTCATTTCTGGGTAATGACGATCAATCACATCCTTTAGACACTCTGTTGTGTTCACCCATTCCAATCCCTTCTTGGTGTATGTTTCCTCATTGAAGTTGCTTGTAAAGAACCTATCAGCCTCTAGCCTCCTGAAAAATTAAGTTGTTACTATTTACTAACGGAGGAGCATGTTATATTTACAAACTTTTTTGTTTACAAACTACACTATATTCTCCCAGGAGAATACAAACTTTTACAAACTACACTATGTTCTCCCGGGAGAAGATAGTGTAATTTGTAAAGAAATTCAAAAAAATTTGTAAACCGATCCTGTCCCTTTACTAATACCCTTTGTTTAATAGAGAGATTAAACTTGTACAATTTAAGAATAAAAATCTTATATTTAATCTTAACCATTGATTAAGATGCATTGTACTTTTTTAAGAATTAATAATTAATTAATGAGTGTAACCTAACAAATTATAATATTTAAATACTCAAAAGTTAATTATTAAGATTAAGCATAAGACTTAGAACATGTTTGGATCCTCTTTTTTTAAACTAGAAGTTACTTTTAAGCTAAAGCTAAAAAAAAAAAAATTAAAAAAAAACTAAAAGTTGCTTGATGATTACATAAAAAAATTTAGCTTAAAAATACACATTTCAAGAAAAATCTCTCTCTCTCTCTCTCTCTCTCTATATCTCTATCTCTATAACTCTTTGTTTTAAAAAAAAAAAATACATAATTCCAGAAAAGTTGATAAGAGCTTAAAAAAACTCCTCCTAAAAGCTTTTGACTTTTTATTATTATAAAAAAATAAAACTTTTTATTATAATAATTTTTCTCAAAACCTGTTTGTCCTAACTTTTACTTATAAGAAGAAAAGAAACTAAAAAAAAAATCCAAAGAGGCACTTACTATTCTTAACCCTTCCCCAACAATTCAATATAAAAGCTCTAATATCATATCATATGTTAAGTGTTGTAAAAAACTTAGGTAGTATTAAAAGTCACATGAAATTTTTTTTTCCCTTTTATAAAATCTCTAATAGTTGTTAATTACCTGGATGCCATGAGGAGGAATATGGTAAAAGCTGTCTCACTAATTGCAAAACCCTTGATCTTCTTCTCTGCCATGAGACCCACAAGCAGATCAAGCTCTTCAACATCATCACCGTATACTTCTTCAAGTACTTGAATTGCTTCCTTGTCATCCGTCAGATCTTTCCATTTAGAGATAGGTATCAACAATAGTGCCCTCCTAAATTGGTTGTATCTTGCCACATTCCTCTCTCTATCCCTGTAAACTGCATCATTATTTATATCATATTATTGGGTCAGTTCCAAGTCACATAGTTGCATATAAAATGGGGAATAAATATTATTTTAAAATCAAGGGTTGATATTGGCTCATCCTACTTTCAAGAGCAGCTAAGTCCACATGATCAGGCCTTTCTGTGCCATCAATGTTCTGTGGTATGATATCCCTTAGCCACACTGGATAATTCCAAAGCTCTAGTGCCCCACAAGCTTGGTGACCCATTGATACTAGTTGTCTTGCAACCCCTATTTCTGTTAAGGTTTTTTCTCCTTGCAGTCCAATCAAATTCTTCATAGGAATCCTATAATATTAATACCAAAAGATAGAAAGATTTTTCTTATGAACCTTTTAGAGGAAAAGGACTTTTAAGGAGTAGGTGCACATATGAAAATATTACAAGGATAATCATTTGTTTCAAATTTTTTTTGTAAAATTTTACAAATTACAATATGTATTTTCGGAAATATATAATGTAACCTAATGTACTTTCAGGAATACATAATAATATAATTTGTAAGAATTAGTAAATAAAAAATTTAGAATTTGTAAGAGTTAGTAAATATGAAAAATGTGTTGCATGTGGTAGTGTAAAAATATTTATGATCATACTCTTTGATTAATGGTGGAGATTTGTTGGGGCCAGGGGTGGCAGATATGTCTCTCAAGTGTAGGTTATCAGGCAGGAGTGAATGCATTCTATAGACACTGACGAATTCCTCAGTTAGAGAGTATGGGACACCATGATTTTCTGGTCTCTTCATGCCCACAAGTCCTCCCAAGATGGCTCCTCCAACATGTCCAAATGTGTCCTTGAATTTCTTCCCCAATAATCCATACCTGAAAATATGGATTTTTCTTAAATAATTTTAATTTTTTTATAAGCAAATAATTTAAATTTTATGTTTGAGATACAAAGAATAATGTCCACTCCTACAAATTTCGGGTGAGAATTCCTTATTAAAAATCGAGTAAAGTCTTTTATGGGTACAAAAAATACAGTTCATACTTTAGTCTCTTAAAAAAAATAGTCTCGAGGTTCCTAAGAAATTTAAAGTGCACCCATTTAATTGAAATCGTGGTCCTTCACAAATTCAAAAAAGATCTACATTAGTCACTCGAAAGGATTAAAGTGGATCTATTTTGACTTTCATAGAGACCAAATGACTAATTTTTTATTTTTTTGTAAGGAACTAAAGTGAGGACCGTGTTTTTTACGTAAGAGACCCAAAATAGACTTTATTCCTAAAATTCAGAGCCAAATAATAAGAACGCAGAGCTTGAAAAAAAGAATTTAAAATAAGATACACTCTATTACCTTCAAATTTATTGAAATAAAGTTAGTTTTTAATCTTTGATTAGCTATTAGTTTAATGCAATGAAATATTTTAAAAATAAATAAATATTATTGACTGTTAAATACTTCTATATATGTTGTGATAAAATATTTTAAAGATATATAATTTTATAAGTTAAATTTTTAACGTAAAATTAAAACTTATAACTTAAAAAGTATTATGAAGAAGATATAATTCATAAGTACATTTATTTTATTCTTATAAATAAGATATACTATATATAATTATTAATAAAATAGGGGAAAGATATTGTAACAACCAATTAGATTTACTATCAATGTTACTACCAATCAATTTCACTGTTAGATCGATTATGTTGATCTAACGATTATATTTATTTTCATCTTTGTATGATTATGATTCCCTATACTTAATACTTTATATTTATTTTCACCTTTGTATGGTTATGATTTTCCATATTTAATGCTTTCACATTAAATATGGAGAATCATGAAAGCATTAAATATGGAGAATCATAACCATATAAAGATGAAAATAAATATAATCGTTAGATCCACATAACCGATCTAACCGTGGAATTGATTAATAGTAATATTGATAGTAATACTAATTGATTATTACAATATCCTCCTCCAATAAAATATTATACTTATTCCTTTTTTTTTCTTCTTCTGTCTTGATAATCTAAAGAATGTCATAATCTTATATTTTTATCCTTTTGTGAATTGAAAAAAAATCATCTCAACTTTTAAGAGTGTAACAAACTGATTATAGAACTGTAAACATCGAGTATATGATGTTTTAGAACATTGCCAGTTCTGTGGTGTGGAGTCTCTTACCAATTGGCACGCATTCCTGCAAGTAAAGTGTCAGTTTTAAGAAGCTCGACAGTCCAATCTATGGTATGAACCTTTGCAATCACAGCTGAGGTCACCAATCTTGCATGCCGATAAAGTTCTTCATCTTCCATATACGGGTAATTATTCTGATGCATTAATACAATACTTAGTTAATTATTGTCACTTATTTCTAGCACATATGAGATATGACATATATTACATACACCCAAGTACAGTACATTTTTTTAATTTCTTAGCTTCTCTTCACCTTGTCAAGTGTGTTAACAAAAAATGGGATAATATTATAAAGCACTAATTCAGCGAAAAAAACTTGAGGTGTTAAGTAAAGATTACATTAATAATTTTAGGGTTAAGTGTGTGTTCATACATATTGTATCCTTTTATTTTTTACCTTATGTATCATGGGTAATACATTGTTATACTATGAAAAATTATTTGTTTTTTTCTCTCCACGTCAGCTGAAGTGACTAAGGATTGAGAAAAAAAAAAATTCATATTATAACTATGTATATAGTATTAAAAATTAAAAGGACACAACTTGTGTCGTTTAAAAGGATAAATTTTTTCCTCATAATTTTATGATATATTTATGGGTTTGATGTTTGTCATTTTAAATGACATAAGTTATGTCATTTTAGGAGAGAGATAGACACAAAAAATGAAAATCATGAGAGACAAAAAGTGGAAGGTTTTTTTTAATTTAAATTTTAAATAAAAAAATTTATTTTGTGTCTATCTCTCTATTAAAATAACATAACTTTATGTCATTTAAAATGAAAAACACTTTTGACACACCATATGTCATTTCACTCTCACAAAGATGTGAGACCCACACCTTTAAAAAATTCTCCATCAACTCTTTCTCCCATAATCTATCTCTTTCACTCACTTAAAATAACACAATTTTGTATCCTTTAAAATAATAGACACTTTTTCCATATTCATGTAACATATACCTTGAGTGCATCACAAACTGCGTTGTGTTCTTGAACAAAAAGGGCCTGCAAGGTTGAGACACCAGCCCAACTATTGCGAATGTCACCTGAGATTGCTGTTCCATCTTCGTTATGAAGAAGGTGGCCATCCTTGGATATCTTGATTTTCCCATCTTTGAAAGTTCTCAGTTTCTTTAAAACTTCTTTATTGCTTCCATATATGGCGCTTCCATCCCTTTTATGATACATTCAAGCCATGAAAGTTAAAGAATGTCTTACATTGAGAATACTAGCTCAAGTACTGATTGAACTTAAATGGAACTATAAATATAAAATAGCACTTGAAACTATAAATTTACAGTTGCACTTTTCATAGTTATAATGTTTATAGCTCATATATACAAAATGATTCCGATTTCAATAAACAAAAAATAAGGTGCAAGCATACTTAAAAATGTATATAAATTACAACATGATTCTTATGGTCAATAACAAAATCTTTCTTAGTTTTTACATTATAATTTTCTTTTTCTTTTTTTAAAATTAAATTTGTGGGCATATATTGTTTTAATTTATGTTCACAATTGATCTCTATCAATTCTTTTTTTTTCATCTTTAGGCCCTCACTCACTTGACAAAAATAGGAAAAAGAGTTTTTTTCACATTTCAGGTTTTTTGACCTGAGTAATTTGTTTATTTAAAAGTTTGACCGGATTAATTTTCTGGTCAAATATATTACTATTGTAATGCATAACGACGTGATAGTGTAGTCACCATTTTAAGACGCGGTAGTTTGAGCAACGCGGCGTTCGCAATTTCAGGCTTTCTGCAACATTGAACCAGATGCGTATTAATTGCTCAAAGACGCGGTACTGAACATATCACGTTTGACCACAGCAAAAGTGATACCTTGATTACTGCGTCCCACGTCTGCTGCAAAAAGCCAGAGGGTCAAAAGGTGAGAGGGTATCTTTGTTATATCCTCTCTACTTTATGCATTTGATCAATTATAGGATAATCTATCTGTGTAGTTTTTTTACTAGTTTATCTTATATTCTCGAGGAATAAATTTTTTTTTTTGGTAAGTACGAATGAATAATAAATTATTATAATAAATTTGAACTCATTTTTTCTTGCAAATTATAGTATATAGCACTTTTAAAAAGTTTAATAACAAAAATAACTATTAATTTAATAATATCATTAATAAAATTTTAGGCCATTAAATACACTACAGTAATAATCTAAATGTAGTATTAATAAAATTTAAGCCCATTAACCTCTATTTTTAATAATATAAATATAGCACTTTTAAAAAATTTATTTATATCTTTAATAAAATTTAAAGCCATCACTAATAATATAAATAATAGCAGTAATAAAATTTAAATCAACTAACCTAAGGTTCTTATAAAATAAATGTAGGACCTTTAAAGAACCTAATAATACACTACACTACACTAATATTATAAATAATAGCATTAATAAAAATTTAATCCACTAAGCTAAGGTTTTAATTGGGCTTAAATTATTAAAAATAGAGGTTAATGGGCTTAAATTTTATTAATACTACATTTAGATTATTACTGTAGTGTATTTAATGGCCTGAAATTTTATTAGTGATATTATTAAATTAATAGTTATTTTTGTTATTAAATTTTTTAAAGGTGCTATATACCACAATTTGCAGGAAAGAATGAGTTCGATTTTATTAAATTTTAGGAATGATATTTAATAATTTATTATTCATTCCTGCTTACCAAAAAAAAAATCATCCTCGAGAATATAAGATAAACTGGTAAAAAAACTAGACAGATAGATTATCGTATAATTGATCAAATGCATAGAGTAGAAAGGATATAACAAAGATATCCTCTCACCTTTTGACCATCTGGCTTATTGGAGCAGACGTGGGACGTGGTAGTCAAGGTATCACTTTTGCAGGTCAAACGTTATATGTTCAGTACCGCGTCTATCATGCGCATCTCGTTCAATGTTGCAGAAAGCCTGAAATTGCGAACGTCGCGCTACTCAAACTATCGCATCTTAAAACGGTGACTACACTATCACGTCGTTATGCATTACAATAATAATATATTTGACCAAAAAAATTAATCCGGTCAAACTTTTAAATAAACGAATTATTCTGATCAAAAAGCCCACATTTCAGCAAGAGATAATACTTTTCATCGATAAAAGTAAATTCGTAATAAACCACACTACACTGCTCCAGAAAATGGATTTTCTAACACCTTAAATTTTTTAGTTACAACTACCCATATTTAATGCACTCCGTACCTATGACACAGGTGCCCCATTTTAATTTGAACTATTTTTGTTCACGTGATTCAAGATATTGGTAGATATTGTTCATGTGATATATATAAAAGACTTATCATGTCACGTGAGATAAGATCCCTCATGTCATAAATTCAATAAGTAAGAAGATCCACCACTTATTAAAAGAAAAGAAAAAATAAAAAGAATAATATGAATTTTGATATCTCACGATATAAGAAAGTTATTTTCTATTATATGAAAAATAATTTTTTATATATAAAAGTATGATTTAAGAAGGGTGTTAAACTAAAAAATTTGACAACTCAAAGAACCAGAATTGTCATAGAACAAAAAAATAAAAAATGAGTAAATATCTTTTTCGGTCCTTAACAAATTTTACGATACCCGCTTTATTTTCTAACAAATAAAAAGGCTATTTGTGGTCTATAAGAAACTCAAAGTGGACCCATTTTAATCTTTTTGAGGACTAATGTGGGTCTTTTTTGAATTTGTGAGAGACCACGATTTCAACTAAATGAGTCCATTTTGAAATTTTTAGGGACCACGAATAACCTTTTTATTTGCTAGAGACTAAAGCGGACATTGTGAAATTTACTGAGGACAAAAAAAATATTTATTCATAAAAAATTGACAACTCTTTTTCCTATTTGTGTCAAGTGGCTATAGATGGAAAATAAGAAAAGGACAAGAGATTGATAGAGATCAATTTTTGTCACAAGAATAAAAAAATATCTTTGTTAGTTAAAATTTTTATCATGAAGCTTATTAGATGCTGGTCGAAGCACATTACTAACATAAATTAAAACAATATAATCACAAAAAATTTAACTTTGAAAAAAGAAAATTATAATGTGAAAACTAAGAAGGAATTTGTTATTGACCATAAGAATCATGTTGTATATATATAAAATTTTAAGTATGCTTTCACCTTATTAAATTCGTAATAAAACCACATTGACCCTGCTCCAGGAAATGATGGATTCTAATACCTTAAATTTTTTGGTTACAACTACCCATAATTAATGTTCTTCCTACCTATGATCCAGGTGTCTCGTCTTAATTTGAATTAATTTTGTTGATGTGATACATACACACACAATGACTCACCTACAGTTCTAAATAGGTTAGACTAGACTAGATTTTGATTTAAATAGTTTAGATTTGTGTAAAATATTTTAAACCTAACCTGATTTATTAGCTTTATACACGCTCAAATTATAAGTCTAACCTGACTTATATTTAAAAAACAAAAATCTTGATATAGATATTAAACAATCATCCCCCATGTACATAAGGAAGGATTAAATTACTCAAGACTTGTTGTAGTTGACCTTTCCTCTATATTGTAATTCACAGAGGGTACACGTACGCAGTGGCGAATTCAGAAAATTTCTTTATGTCCACACATTTAATGGTGGGGGTTCGGGGCAGCGCCCCCGAAATATTTTTTGTAAAGAAAGTTTAAATTAACGCTTGAACCGCTCATAACCTAGTTACTTCCATAACAAAGGATGAAGAAACCATGGGAATGGGTACGTGACACGGGTGGAAGAATAAGTTTTCTCTCTACTCAATTTGCCTTGCTACGTTATTTTAATCATCTCTGTACGTTGCTAACTAATATAAGAATAAATATCTTTTTTGGTCCCTAACAAAAAATCTGATCCCCACTTTAGTCCATTATAAAAAAAAAATAGTCACTTAGTTCCTATGAAATTTAAAGTGGACTCATTTTAGTCTTTTTGAGGGACTAATGCAGGTCTTTTTTGAATTTGTGAAGGACCACGGTTTTAACTAAATTGATCCACTTTGAATTTCTTAAGAACCTCCTCGAGACTAATCTTTGATAAAAGACTAAAGTGGAAACTATATTTTTGTTAAGAACTTAAAATGATATTTACTCTTAATATAAATATTGAACCAAGAGACAAGTAAGGATCTACGTAACTACAACAACAACAAAAAACTAAAATTCAAAATCTTATGTCCGCACTTGAGGACATAAGTGCCCACCTATGTCCGCGAGTGCACCTACGGCAGATTATATCATTGGTCAGCATAGATAGAAATCTTACCACCAGGGTGTACGGATGTTTAAGGCTCCGGTATTGATCTCATAGAAGCCGGTGGAGATTTCCTTTGTCTCATAGAACTTGAAAGACTTGAGTGGGCATTGACTTGCAACTTCACTTGGAGCAGTGAGTTCAATCTTGATATGTATGACAACATTTCGAAAAGATAAATATGTTCTTGAATATTATTACATCATGAAAATTGTTAACCACTTTTGTTTTCTTCCCAAAATGATTTGATATATATAATGTCATAAATAACTCATGAACGAATTATGTAATGTTTGCATACAATATTGAGAGATTACTACAACTCCTTTAAATTTTTTTTTATTTTTAAAATCGAGCAAAATTAATTATTGTTATAATAAGTACATACATATATACCTGATCGGTGTCCTCAAGATGATCGATCCAATCATGTATCATAAATTGAATCCAAGAAGCTGCTATCACATTGAATTGCTTCCCTGTGTCCTTGTACTTTCTCCTTGCCAGAAGTTTCGTTACTACCACCATTGGATCCGGCTTCATTACCTGCAAACAAATTTTATGCTTTCAAATTCAGCAACTTGAGAGGAATAAAATTAACATAAAAAACCAAAAAGGCCCATCAACTGAAACACTTGAAAAATCAATTAGTAACATTTTTTTTTACTCATTTTTCATGTCCAAATTATATATATTGTCTCAACCAAATTAAATTAATAACGTACAAACATTGTATATATAGACCTTGTTTTTCTGATCCACAGGGAGAATGTTTCTACCAAAAAAGGATCCTTGGCTTCCAGCAATTTCATTGAAGGGGTCATTGTATTTTCCATCAGCTGTTCTGAATGGAAAATCAGAAGGGTTAAACCTAACCCCCACTGGTGTTCTCCCAACGTTGAAGAGGTTGTACTCTTGATGAATGTGGCGGCGAATGGCCAGGTACAATAGGCCTAAGAAAACAGGTAAACGGTGCCATATCCCCAACTTGTCAATTGAGTGTATAATCTGCAAAATAAATAAATAAAATCAAATAATATATGATGAGCATATTAATGTAACAGAAATTTACAAGGCCATGATGAATATGTAGGCATATATCCTTATTATTATAAAGTAATTAACTAGGACAATAATTTGATGAAGAGGGGATGATTGTACAATGAAGAGAAAAGTGTCTATGATGGTCATATTGGCCACTGCTTCATGGAAGTCTTTATGGATGAATTGGTGAAGAACTCTTTTTGCAAGAGCTATAATGGGATCCGCTGCTAGAGACCACATGGTTTGGTTCTATTGATGACACAATTACACGGCTAATTTTGATGAGATATATGTATGTATATCAAAAGCTAAGGTCGCATCTATATTTATAAGCGTTATAGGGTGAGAAATTTTTCTCTCAATTCGTGTGTCGTGGGTAAGAGAGTGGCCATAGCTTCAATTCTATTAAAACTTGGTACACATGATGCAAATAGTTGTCCAAAATCAATTAATCTCATTTATTTTACTTTATTTGTTGTTGATATTCTACTATTCTAACTTCATATACAAGTTGTCGAAAATGAATTAGCTAGCCTCTTTTTTTTTTTTTTATACAATGGTGACGTTGAGGTTTGAACCTACGACCTCATGCAAATTATCCATATCCCTCACCACTACATCAATTCTAATGGCTTAGCTAGTCTCATTTTTTTCATAGTTGTTGAAAATGTTGTAAATATTTATAAAGGAAAATATATCAGTTGAAAGCTCTAGTAGAGAAAATAAATTTGGCGCGTACTATTAACTGATTTGAAACGATGCAACTAAACAATTTTGGGAATTCAATTTTCATCAGCAACCCATGAACTCAATGTCTTAAGGTTTTAGGTTGAGAGACATGGTGTCGGATCCACTTGTTACGACTGCCACAGGCTTCCCTCTGGACCCGCCTGACAAGTTCCAGCATTAAAAAATAAATCAAATGGGATATAATTGTTGTTAATTTACTGAAGGAAAAGAAGTGTAAAACTAATAAACATGAACCGGAGGATAAACTCGCTTTCCTTGTAAATTCAGAAGAAAAAAATTAAAGAAATTAATTATATAATAATTAGTATAATAGTAAACTATTTGTCTTAATTTGAAACATTATATTGAATTAGACGTTGTAGAAAAAAAATACAATTTATTAAGATTTCGCACATCCTTTTGGAATTTGATTACGTGGTGGAAAATGAAAGTTATGCACGTACGTACGCTTATCGCGATGGTTTTAACTTTTAAAAAAACTAAACAAAAGAATTGGGAAGGTTGGTACGATTGGAGGCTGGAGCAATACAACAGATATGGAGGAGATATTATTTTCAAATGTCATTTAACATTATGCGTGTAAGCATATTATTAGTTGAGAGAAAAGGTACTGGAAAAATATAACTGAATATTCATCTTCATTCAAGTGAGTAAAAAGTACAAGGGAACGTTCTACTTATAACAAGGAAAAATAACAGAATGCTAAAAAGGTGCTCAGCACATGCATGAGCCAGCCTGGTACCAAAGAGCACCAGATTAGTTACAACAGCAAAGTTAAAAATAAGAAAATAACAAATAAAGGAAAATACAATATTAATAGCCCCCCTCAAGATGGAGAGTATATGTTTAAAACTCCCATCTTGGACAACAGAGTAGAAAACTTAGAAGGAAGAAGAGGCTTAGTGAATAAATCAGCAAGTTGCTTGGAGGAAGAAACTGGGAAAGTCTTCAAATGACCCTTAAGGATGTGCTCTCGAACGAGGTGACAATCAATTTCAATATGCTTCGTGCGTTCATGGAAAACCGGATTGGCAGCCAGATGAAGAGCAGAAAGATTGTCACAAAAAAGATGAGCAGGTCCATGATGAAGAATACAAAAATCCCGAAGCAGAGAAAACAGCCATAGCAACTCACAGGTGACATGTGCCATTGAACGATACTCGGCCTCTGTAGAAGAACGAGATACAGTTGACTGCTTTTTAGACTTCCAAGAAACAAGGGAATCACCAATGAAGACACAGTAGCCGGAAATGGACCGACGGCTATCCGGGCAAGAAGCCCAATCAGAATCACAAAAAGCATTGAGCTGTATAGAAGAGGTAGAAGAAAAGAACAGGCCTTGTCCAACAGTGAGCTTAATGTAACCAAGTAACCGGTGTGCAGCTTGAAGATGAGGCACACGTGGAGAGGCCATGAACTGACTTAGATGAGTCACGGCATAAGAAAGGTCAGGTCTTGTAATTGTGAGGTAAATCAGTCTTCCAATCAGCCTTCGATAGATGGAAGGATCTGAAAGAAGCTCACCAGTATTGATGGAAAGTTTGAGACCAGCATCCATTGGAGTAGTCCTTGGCTTGCATCCCAGTTGGCCAGAATCCTTAAGAATTTGCAAGGCATAATGACGTTGGCAAACAGAAATGCCTGTTGTATTGCGAGCCACTTCAAGACCCAAAAAATATTTCAAACAACCAAGATTTTTTAATTGGAACCTGCTGTTAAGAAGCTCAGTAACCTGTTGCACTTCATTAGAATTGTTAGAGGCAACTATTATGTCATCTACATAAACTAAAATAGCAGTAAATGAAGTTGATGTAGAATGAACAAATAGAGAGTGATCAGATTGAGACTGAATAAAACCAAGGTCCAGTAAAGTAGAAGAAAACTTCGCAAACCATTGGCGGGAAGCTTGGCGAAGACCATATAAAGATTTATGGAGCCTGCAAACAGCATTGGGAGGCATAGAAGTGAGCTTCGAAGAATAACCAGGAGGAATGGTCATGTAAACCTCCTCAAGCAAATCCCCGTGGAGGAATGCATTATTTACATCAAGCTGAACAAGAGTCCAATTATGGACAGCAGCAAGAGCAAGTAAAACCCGCACAGTCGTCAGTTTTGCAACTGGAGAAAAAGTATCCAAAAAATCCACACCTTCCTGTTGGGTATACCCCTTAGCTACTAAACGAGCCTTATACCTTTCCAAAGAGCCATCCGAATTATATTTCACTTTGTAAACCCAGCGGCAGCCAACAGCATTCATGCCAGGAGGAAGAGAAACTACTGTCCAAGTGTGGTTATGCTCAAGGGCTGATAATTCAGAATTCATAGCAAGCTGCCATTCTGGTAATTGAGAAGCCTCAGAATAAGAAGAGGGTTCAAAGTGACCAGAAATGGAGTTAACAAAAGCTGTATGAGAGGGAGACAGCCGATTGTAAGAAACAGAACCAGAAATGGGATGATTGGTAGAGCAAACATAATCATTAAGATGAGAGGGGGCAGTGTGGGTGCGTTGAGGCCGCAAGGGGGCAGGAGCAGCCTCGGTTGGGGACACTGCAGTAATAGGATGAGGTAAAGCTGGCCAAAAATTGTCAGGGGAAGAAGGCAAAGAAGAATTAATTTTAAAGGGGAAAATGGTCTCAAAAAAGGTAACATCACGAGAGATAAAAACAGTATTGGACTGAAGGTCAAGGAGTTTATAGCCTTTGTAGCCAGGTGGGTAGCCAAGGAAAACAGCGGGTAAGGCACGGGGAGAGAATTTGTGTCTATTTTTGGGAAGTGTAGAGCTGTAACAAAGACAGCCAAATACCCGGAGATGAGTATAGGAAGGGGGTTTATGGCAAAGGAGTTCAAAAGGGGTTTTGGAAGCCAGCAAGGGGGATGGAGTTCTGTTGATAAGATATGCAGCAGTAAGAACGCAATCCTGCCAAAAAGGTAGAGGAACATTGGATTGAAAATGTAAGGAGCGAGCAACATTAAGCAAATGTTGATGCTTTCGCTCAACCACAGAGTTCTGCTGTGGGCGATCCACACATGAGTGGAAAACCTGAATGCCCTTTGAAGAGTAAAAAGAGGGTAAATTGAGCTCAGGGGCATTATCACACCGTATGGACTGAATGGAAAGACCATACTGAGTGTGGATAAGATTGTAGAAGGAAGGAAAAATAGAAGAAAAATCAGATTTTCTTCGAAGAAAATAAATCCAGGTAAACCTAGTTGAATCATCAACTAAGGTTAAAAAATACCTAGAACCTTCAACCGAGTGAGTGGAGAAGGGACCCCAAATATCACAATGCACAAGCATAAACGGAGAAGCAGAGAGTTTGGGGTCTAATAAAAAAGGGAGACGTTTCTGCTTAGCAAGGGGACAAACAGCACAATGATGTGAAACAGGCAAATAATCAGAAAAACCCAAAGCATTTTTCATTGAATTTAAAACAGAAACAGATAAGTGACCCATTCTGGAATGCCATAGAACAGGATCCTTTACAGTAATAGAAGAACATAGGGGAGGGGGAAAAGTAGAAACAGAAGAACACTGGGGATGGGGAACATCAGTTTTGGGAAGAGAGGTACAATCTAAAATATAGAGATCACCGCATCTCTTAGCTATCCCAATCAGCTTGGCCGTAACACGGTCCTGAAGCAAACAAGAAGAAGCACAAAAATTAGCCACAACAGAAGAATCACGAGTTAAAGAAGGAATAGAGAGGAGATTAAACAAAAAAGAGGGTACAAAAAGAACATGCAAAAGAGAAAGAGATGCAGTGAGGGAAATATCCCCAACAGCAGAGACAGCAGCAGAAGAGCCATTAGGAAAAGTGACCAGAGAATTAGATGGAGAAGAAGAGACAAAAAAATCTTTGGAGACACAAACGTGATGGGTAGCTCCAGTGTCGAGGACCCAGCACGAAGAAGGAAAAGGAAAAAGGGGCTTACCGCTGAAACTCGCGACCGATGGAGCGACGGAAGGAGCGACGGAGGACTCAACGGTGGAAGAGGAAGCAGAACTCTGTTGGATGAGGGAGATCAACTGGTTATACTGTGTAGGGGTGAAAGCCAGAGGTGTGTCGGTGGATGAGGGATTAGGGGATTTGGGCTGAGATAGGTGGGGTGCAACAGAATGGGCAAAATGGGCCTGAGGAGAATGGGCCATATGAGGAAAATTGGGCTTCGGGTTCCTGGGCTTGTAGCCAGGAGGGAACCCATGAAGCTTAAAGCACTTCTCCCTTGTGTGTCCAGAGAGATGACAGTAGGTGCAAACGGGCCGTGGACGCCGCTGAGTAGTGATGGCCATGGACGCCGGAGCTTGATCGGCGGTGGTGACAGAACCCATAAAGGGAGTTTCCGGAGCAGCAATAACCGGTAAGGAAACAGAGATCTGGCGTTGACGTTCCTCCTGAATCACCATGGAAAAGACCTTGGCAAGAGATGGCAAAGGATCGATCAACAGGATCTGAGCACGGGCAGCGGAGAAGGAATCATTGAGGCCAATTAGAAATTGAATGACATGATCCTGATCCCTGCGATT